TATATTTTTGTTTAGACCCACTAGCCTTTTTCTTGTCGTCGGTAGCAGTACCATTGTCCGGGACCGCGCTATCCTCCTTTTCGACAGATGATTTTCGCTTTGGTTTCGACTCTTTTGAATTCCTTTTATCCTTCTTTGCATCTTTCTTTGAAACATCTTTACTTTTTTGTTTATTACGCTTGCTTACGTTAATAGTCTCGCATTCTTCTCTTTGTTCAGTTTTCTTCGGGGAATACTTTCCGCTAACGTCAGAAGAACCGTTCTTGTCAACTTCTTTCTCTGATTTCAGCCCCTTTTCTTTACTCTTTTCGTGGCTTTTCTTTTTAGATTGTTTTTTATCTTTCTTCTTTTCTAACTCATCCGCATAAGCGACCAGTTCATCGTATGTAATTCGTAAAACAAGCGGTAAACTGTTCCCGCTGGAAGACGCCGCCATTTTGAATACAACTAGTACCCAGCCTCCCGCCTTTTTTGTGTAAATTCCGTGCCCTGGTACACGAAGAAATGCGAACAGAGGAATATCTCTCGCAGTCTGGCTCTAAAAGGCGGACACCTGGAGTTGGTCCCTGCCGTTCGTCAATCATTTTCTTTGACTCTCTATAAAGTAGACGTCTCCCTAAATCGGATAACTCTAGAGTTGGTCCCTGTCGTTCTTCAGTGATTTTCTTTGACTCGCTATAAGGTGGACACCTCCCTAAAAAGGGACACCTAAAGTTACTCCCTGCTGTCCTCCAGTCATATTCTTTGGCCCTCTATAAGACAGACACCTCCCTAAAACAGACACCAAGAGTTGGTCCCTGCTGCTCTTCAGTCATATTCTTTAATTCTCTACGAGATGGACACGTCCCTCTGAAACCGACACCTTGGGTTGGTTTCTGTTGCACTTCAGTCATTTTCTTTGCCCCTCTATAAGGCAGACACCTCCCTAAAATGGACACGTAGAGTTGGTCCCTGCTGTTCTTCAGTTATTGTTTTGAGTTTTTGTAAGAAGGACACTATTCCAAGACAGACACTTTCTGCCGTTCCAGACACAAAAAAAAGGAAACAAAGGAGTAAAGGAGAGGGACGTATGTGGCCCTTTTACGGTTTTCTGATCAGTGATGGTTTAAAGAACCCTTTTTTGACGCATGAAGGCTCGATGTTTTGTCATTTGATGGCTGATAGCTAATCTCATTCATAAAAAGGATGAGTCCTCCCTGGGGCTTAGTTTCTTACCTGGGGGAATGGCCTGGTTTGGAGGACCGCGCCCTTTTTTGTTTGAATTCTCAATAAAATCAACCTTGACTCCAAGCTTTCACATGATTTGTGAAACTTAAGCCAAAAATGCTTAACTGCACATGAATACTAAACACTAACTTAATAACAAGGGCACTTCAATTATAGTCTGTTGAAAATTGTGACAGGCAGTTTCTTTACAGAAAGGCAAGTTCGCTGAAAGTGATTGGTTAAAAGATGTTAAAAATTTTCTATTTATTGTGCACGTGCATGGGCACATCAGTACCCCAATTTAAAATGGAGTACACTGTTATAACAATAGTAAAAAAATTACAGACATCCAAGCACTGAAAAAGTTCTTATTGTCGAAGGTAGGAAGTATCGATTGCCATAGTAAGGAATATCAACTGCCATGAAACTGTCTTAAAACGCGAGGAAATCAGCTAAATACTGTTAAATCAAGGATAGTGGCTGTTCCGTGAAAAATACTGATGAAAGTTAAAGTCGAGGTGAAAGCTACAAAGGTATGCAAAAATTGTTCTATTCACAAAGCCAGTTTCGTAATAAGAGACATCGAAAATAAAGGTGCTGAAAAGTAAATTTAAAAAAAGCAAAAGAACCCTTAGGTTAATAAATTACATCAGCTAAAAAATCACGGAAAAATCCAGAAAAAAGTACTAGCCTAAGAAAATTCTGGATTGAGAATGTACCAACCACACATCGCCGGCGAGCAAGGAAACGGTCTATAAATGAATCAGTAAAACTGCATCACACTCTATATGAACGCATAACGACGTACGCGTGCTAAACAAACAAAACTAACGATTTGACTATTCATTTGTTGCCGATCTGCTCTCAGAATAATTAAACGGCCATAAATTAATTGTTAATCAGTATCATATGCTAAGAAAACTGTATCTTTTTGTAGGGTCTCGCCTCCTCTTTCTGCTTTATATAACAGGCTCGTTGCCGGACGAACTTATTCCTACAGTAGGTATTTTTTTTTTTAAAAACTATTCTTTTAATGCATAGCCGTCTTAGCGTTATATGAGAGTCACAAAGAAACTTCAACATTTTTACCGTGGCATCCGCCCTTGTTGCTTTGCAGAACTAGCTCGTCGAGCCTTTCTAAACTGCTTATATTCAATGTATATGGATGGAAGTCATTTGTATTTTGGCTGGATCTAGACGCAATGGGCTGGTACGTAATGTTATGTTGGTTAAAATATTGTTGCTATAAACCTCCCAAGCACCTAGTCTAATGATAAGAAGTATTAGGGTAAGAAAGGAACTCGCACAAGCAACAATCTTTTTGCCATCAGCTAGCTACTTAAGCTTCTCTCAAGATGAGATCCTCTTATCAAGGATATCAGTTTCATGCCTTAAATAAGTTTAGAGATATCAAAAAATGTAGGATCTTAAGTATTTTTTCGCTAAAAATTAAAATCGATCCAAATGTAAAGGCTTTTTGAAGTGAATTTAGTTGATAAAGCAAGTTTATATGAACGACAGCAAAACACCTCGCTAATGTTAACACGAACATGACAAGGGGACAAAGCTAAGCGATGTCCACAGTTTAGGGGTGTTCGCATCATCATGAAGTCTCCATGATGTAGGAATTGTACCAAGGTTGCCATGTTTCGAACTAAGACAACTGTCCCGGAAGAGGTGTTCGTATTTAGAGAGGTTTTGGTAAGGAGTTGTTGATAAAAATTATATAACCAAAAACTCATCTAGTGGGAGGCAAATTTTGCAAGTGCCTGGTCAAGGAATTATACCAGGGACCACTGAGAAATAAATCCAGCTAGCGCTCAGCTCGTTGTTGGACTGACTTTAGTATCGAGTATATTCAATTTATTTTAACTTCCACGGAGCTAACTGCTGTTTGTGTATGTCTGTCCAGCCGGCAATATGAAAGATTCACGTGATATGGTCTGTCGGATTTCAGCAGGCATAATTTTGAGCATTTTTTGGAATTAGAGTGACTACGGTGGCAACGTTTTACACTTTAAAGAGTGTTGTCAATCATATCTTGTACCACTCGAAAGTGAAGTGTTTGTAGCCATGGAAATACACTAAGGAGCTGTCCACACTTGGTACTCGGGAACCAGTGCCTGGGTACAGGTACAAAATGCTGTTGTGTTCACACCTTGAGTAACCGATATGTGAAGTCCTGTGTTCATAGGTATCCCATTTCGCCCTGCCAAACACCATTTTGAAACATGAGCTTAGCAACGAATACAAAGAAGTGGAATGCCGAAGAACTAACAAAAACGATGTGCTAACAGGGACTCAGTGCCCACTTTTTTGCTCGAGTACACTGAAGGTCTCGAACGTGCCCGAATTCTAGGGTGGGTGAGGGTGAGTTCACGTTAGTGCCCAGTGAGTACCGCACTCGGCCGCGGGTACCGTGCCCTAGCACCAAGTTTGAACGCTGCATAACATGCAGTGGCCTTCTGTTGCAAAAGGTACTATGCCACTCCCACAAATCCAAGTTTATTTGATACTGTTTGATATTAAGGAAGGGAGGGAATGAATTGACTGAAACATGGAAAATTCGCGCAGTCTTGTCTCCGTTTGACCGCAGTGTTATTCGTTATAGTCACGGTTCAGGTCCCTTTTCCTCTCCGTCTGATAGTTGAATGGTGTTGAATCTCACGCAAAGTTTTCAGTAATGTTTATTATGTACGTACTTCAAGTCATGATAGATGTTCACACCTTTTCATGGAAAACCAATGAGGTGCGACATAACCTCTTAGACCTCTTTGCAGCGTAATAAAATAAAGAAACAAAGAGATTAGATCAAGCTTAAATTTGTCTCTTACAAAAGTTTAAACCACATGGAAAATTGTAAAAAGGTCGCCCTAGAAAGTGGCCGCTTCCACTCACCAGAAGTGGTCGTTTATTAGAGGTACCAACTATAACAAGGCTTTGATTGGAAAATGTTTTGTGTTATGGAAAGGTTATCGCTTTGAGACGTGGTCACTTACAAGGGATGATCGCACAAGAAGGTTTGACTGTAGATGGATTTACAATCGAGGGAAAAGAAAGAATTTCCCATAGAAAAAGAGATATTAGAGTGAGTTTCGTATTCCTAAGACTGTCCATTAAAATTCTCAAGGTCAAGTAAAATTGATGTTACTCAGATATAAAGAACAATGTCCTCTAGTAGGCATTTTGAAACAAGAAAAGCAGATCTGAAAGTCTCTTCCCTCAGTCAATGTTTCAAATAAGCGATTTCTTAACAACATCTTGGTTGCAGGTTTTTGCCAGCCAGTGCTTCAAACAAGGTGAACGAACAGACGTAGCCCATCATAAACACTCAAATTGTTATTAATTACTGTTGTTGTTTGATTTAGTGCTTGTTAATGAGTTTCCCCACTTTCCCGATTTCGGATCCAACCTGTCCCCCCGGACCAGTGGCCCCCGTAAGGGGGACTCCTATATGAAGTAGACGGGGATGCTCAACGAAAAAGCCAATCAGGGCGTGGCTCAAGCTTGCCCCTATAAAAAGGAAACCATAAATGCGCCTTTCCCCGAAGCATTTGTCTCGCGATCCTCTCTCGCTTCGCGCTTGACTTCCTTCGCATAAAAAACGCGAAAAAAAGACAAAATAAAATAAATAACGCGTCAGTTTTCCGTAGGCTATACTCTAACATAATATCAGGGCATTTGTTTCTGGCATAGCTTTATCGGCTTTCCGACATAAACGCTCTAAGAAAAAACAAACTCTGTAATTTCTACTCCTATACGAGACGACGAGCATCCCCGTAAATTTCAAATATAGTAGTCCACCCCGGCCGCAGATGGGGCCTACGTTTGCTTTATAAGGGGAAGGCCTCCTCGGTGTGATACCAGTCAGTCAGCTCACAGGTGGCCCAAGCGTAATATGGGCCACCTGTGGCGTAATATGAGAGTTTGTATGGGAAATATAGAGTTTGAAACTTAGATGAAATAAATGAAGTAAAAGCGATAAAAGTTATCAATAAAGTGTAAATATTGTTACTTGGAGTCGTTGTCTTTGTTTTCACGAAGTTTCAGCGCGATTTGAGTACTTTTACATCATCTGACCTGACTGTGTAATAATAAGAGAGCTTTATTGATAACTTTTATCGCTTTTACTTCATTTATTTCATCTAAGTTTCAAACTCTGATTTTCCCATACAAACTCTCATATTACGCCACTGGTGTCCCATATTACGCTTGGGCCACCTGTGGTCAGCCATGCGTGCAAACGAGTTATCACTTTTGCTTTTAACAGATCGCAGAAAAGTCTAAAGAATCATCGGTAAGCCCCGCAACAGAGCTACAGAACGATGCGAAGAGTAGTAAGATAAAAATAGGTGAAGTATCACCGGTGCAAGAGGATGATGTACGTGATATCCTGGAAACTCCTCCCCAACAACAGCAACGCAAAGCTAAATCGACTATGGTCAAGATGGCTCTTTTGGCACCGCTATGCCTTATCAATCTCATAGTGTTTGGGGCTTTCTCAGTGCTATCGCCCTTCTTTTCTAAAGAGGTACATAAAAGAGCTTGTAAGTTTTACGTACCGCGGTTTGTGTGAAAAATCGTTTTTGATCTCCCTTGAATTGATTGGCATCAAAGGTGTGATAGTTGGGCTGAACCACCTAGACTTCATAACAGAGGTCCTCGAATGTGCTGGTGACAATCTGCTACTGCGCACACCAAGGTCCAAACCTTTGAAGAGGGTCAGAAAAAAATTCAATTTTTTTTTAAAAAGAATTTTTTTTGGAATTTGGTTGAAAATTAAAAACAAAATCTCCGAATTCCCTTTCTCACACATATATAACTTGCACAGTTCAGAATAAGTAATTTTTCACCACAAACACTGGTTTAACCCTAAATACTGGTTACGGTAAAAACAACAACAGTTAACAATTAAATAACGAACCTATTTCCCATGCAGTAATATAAGGTGAAGCCAAATTTTGACTCTACTGAACACTATTATTTTAGGCGCAGCGCAGAGGAGCAACGGGTTCTGTGGTTGGATTTATTTTTGGAAGTTATCCACTTGTGATTGTCCTTTCTTCACCAATTTTTGGACGCCTGGTAAGTAACGATCAACCCAGTGGGATCACTGTTTCCCTGTTTTACTGTGTATGTAACCAGTCTAATTCAAAACTGCACCTGAATTTATATACTCCATAAGTGGCTTTTAATGGACAAGGTGGAGGATCTGCCCCACTGTTAACCCGAATTCCGAAATCTGATAAATCTGGAATCCTGAAATCTGCAATCCACCTCAAGGAATCCGGAATCCCGCTAAAGATTGAAATCCGGAGTCCAAGTTCCACTGACAAGCATTCCGGAATCCTGTACATGGAATCCAGAATCTACACTGTGTCTCGGATTACTTTATATGGGGTAGAGGCAGAAGGATGCTTAAACAGGATTTCTTCACAAATAGGTTGCTCTCCTTAGGTACAACTTGTAAAGGTTGCACTTGATGCTGGTCTAAAACGCTTTTTGAGCGGCCGATTAGATGGTGAATTTCAGCCCGGAAGCAATGTTTAAAATTGGGCGGAAAAATTTGCAGGAAAATTTTCCACATCCAAAACTAAAGCAGTACACACGCCCAAGTTCATATTTTGCGCGGTCTGAAGTTTGAATTTGATTGCATGGAGTTTCTTTTGTCCATTTGACCGGGCTGAATTTTGGGCGACCGCTTCTACCTGCGAGCTGCAGACGTATTTCCGGTCGTCGCTTCTCTAAAGCCGAAAAAACCGGATGCTCTCGCAGGCTACTTCTACTCAGGTTTCATGTGTTATTATTAATCCACCCTTGTCACCAAAGGATGGGGTGTTTATGATACCTAAGTGTGTTGGATTTATCATAGTTGGACACGCGCGATGGGAAACACGTGCAGAATGGGCGTCGAGCGTGTCTGGCGCTCCTCCGGCTCGTTTCGCGCTTCCATTCGCTCGCCTGAAAAACGCGAAAAAGTAACACCTGTTATGCAGGCTACCTGTGCTAGTCTCAAATGCCTGTTAATGCCTGCTAAATAGAGCCAAGAGAAAATGGAGCTTGAAAAGTCGGAAACGATAACATTCGTCATCTGAGGTCTTTATTGTATTAACAATGATCATATTTATAGTTTCAAAACACACAAAGCGCAGTATTTCTTGAATAACACTGACAAAGAATCATGGAAATGTGGGTGTGTTGACACTCAACGTTTACCATCTTTTTTTGTCCGACACATAAATATATCCATTATGATTTGAACACTCACTACACAAAACGGCGTAAACAAGGCCTATGCCCAAGCTCCTATCAAGTGCTTAACACAGTAAGAGGTTAACCGGCATAGTTAGATTTATATATACCGCTTTCTTTCTTTCAGGTGGCCAAATGTGGTCCTCGTCGTGTTCTTGTAGCCGGTATTATTGTTGGTAGCTCGTCTCTGAGCTTATTTGGGTAAGTTACTATAACCGAAATTTATGGTTACAGTAGCGAGATAGAAAGTGCCAGGGAATCTGCGCCAGATGAAATAACTGTTTTCTGAAGTTTCTGAAAATGAGATTTCATTTCATTTCATTTTATTTGTTTCTCCGAACCTTAGCAGATGATAATACAGAATAAGATATAAGGTGAAAAAGTAAGTAACAAATAAAATTTACAAGGAAAGAAAACGGATACAATACAAAATTACAGCACTTAAATGAAATCACATTGTATATAGGAAGGAGAGGAGAAGGGCACGTGCAGATAAACTGTGATTGTGTCCCTTAAAGTTATGTATAACTTAGTTCTTAAGTTGTTTGTTAAAAAATAAGTCAAAAAAACAGAAAAAATAGAAAAATCAAATGAAGTCTGGCAGAGCTAGAAAGAATGCGGCCATTATGCCCGATGGCTGCTGACCATAAGATGGGATTAAAACATAAACGTTAACTTTAGGCTCGGGGGACTTAAAAAAAAGGGACACAAACTTTTTAAGGTGGGAGGGGAAGCGTAAAATTCGTGAAATATTAATAAAAGAAGTAGGAAAAAACGGTGAAAAAAGAGAGCAAAGCCTTGCCAGGGAATCGAACCGCGCGTCCCGACTTAAAACTAAAAAGCTAAAAAAAAATGTACAATAGAACTATTTACAAGTAAAAAGTAGGAAGACACGCATATGATCTTAGCTAAGGAAGAATTAAGAAAGACAAATCTTGATTGTGCCATGGGATGGTATATGACTGGAGCGTTTTAATACTACCACAAACATTTTTTTAAATTAGCACGCGCAATAATATTGTGTTTCTCACAGACTGGGTGGTTTGACGTCTGATGCAGTGACATTCGTGTTAGTAAGTCTAAGCCTCAGAATTGTGTCCGCTATCGCAGCAGCGGCACTTCTAACGGCCAAATTTGCCATAGCAATGGAAGAGTATTCCGGCGAAGAATTGTCAACTGTTGCGGTATGCATTAACGTTTTATTACTTATTCGTTTTTTAAGCTCAGAATATCCTCAAGCTTAAATTTTATCCCTTTATGAGCTCATTAAGGTGAACACCGTAAGATCCAGTCGCCTCGGGGTAGTCTATGAGCAAAAGATGAGGGGTGGGGCCCGCTTTCTTTCTCGACACACGTTCGTTCGTTGTTGAAGGAGTGAAGAGAAACTGCTGAAATTAACGAATAAAGAAGCCTTGAATGTGCTCTGTTCTGTTGTAAAATGTGCAGGGAGCGGCTAGAGCACGAAACAAGTGTGGGGGGGGGGGGGGAAACGAGACGTCGTCGAGTGTTTCTCCTTACTTCTTGAGCGCTCTATCCTCTTCTTTAAGTGCATTACAACAGAAACAGAGCACAGTCCCGGCTTCTTTATTTGTTTTATGATAAAGAATTCGTTAAATTCCCCACAACTTTCTTTCTAATATTCAAAACAAACTTGCTTTAGCTCCGTATTGTATGCTGTCATAAAGCACGCTTATTCAACCAATTAGAGTTCGCGTTATATCTGAACTTTACAATAACGTATAATAAAAATCCTCTTTCCCCGCTGCCTTATGCATGTTCTCGCGCATAGAGATTTGATTAAAGCTGTCTTTGGCATTTATGGGAGGAAATGATAAGTCTCTTGGCGACAGCTCTTAAACTTTGGTTGATTCTACCGCAATAAAATGCTTATGAGTACTACTGAAAGTCTTAGAGTCAGCTTTAAAAATTCCAAAATAGCACATATTACAATTTCTCACATTCTAAAACAGGGCATAATGGAAAGTTTTACTGGTGCTGGCACTGCTATCGGCCCCGCAATTGGAGGATTTCTTCGGCCGGTAGGTTTATCTGATGAATTGTACTTGATTTACGAGTTTGATACAGTAACAGTGTCGTAACAGTAGGTCTCGGAGTTTACTACAAAGTTAAAAAAATCAGCAAAACCCCTGAATGAGATGTACCGTATTTATTCGATTAACCACCCTGAGCGCTTATTAATTTTTTTGACCTTGAGAGTGGGCGCTTATTCAAGGTTGGCACTTATTCGAGGCTGGGCGCTCATTAAATTTCATCGTTTTCAGCAATAGTGTAGTATGTTTATTTTGCAGCAAAAGACAATAATTGGTAAGAACAAAACGCCAAGATGTAAATGATCAATACTCTGAAGAAAACCTCGTCTTCGGGGAAGTCTTATAAGTACTTATTCATTTTTGGGGGTGGGAGGGGGAAGCCGGGTGGGTTTTGGTTGTGGGCGCTTATTTGAGGTTGAGTGGAAGGGGGAGGGGTTGGGCGACTATTAACTCTTTCTGCCTCTAGTATGGGCGCTTAATAGAGGTGGGCGCTAATTCGAGGTTGGGCGCTTATTCGAATAAATACGGTACATGTACGTTTACTACAACACTTTCGGGTTTAGGTCTGATGATCTTTGCGAAAAGCAGTGGGGGTTCGTTCAATACGTCCTTTTAAAGTGATTGGGAAGGATGAAGGATATATGATTGAAACGCTTAACTTCACGTTTCTACTACGTAATCTGAACTGAGGCAAGTTGTAAGCACAGCCAGCATAGGCTGAAAAGTTTTTAAAGGAACTTGGTGGGTGGTCCTCCCAATACTGAAGAGGCCACGACCTCCCATCATGGTCGAAGCTGTTTTTGTTTAACGTTCGTCTCCGGGTCTCCTATTAACTGAGCTAGCTCGGTGTGGATAGAATAGGTTGCTTTTACTGAGCAGTATTTCCAATTTATTTTCATTTTACCTTTCTTTAGTCTTCCCACGTACTGTCATAGTATAAAAAATTGCTACGCCCTTGGCAATTGTGATTTAAATCAGACCTAGGGCTTAAAGTGTGGGGAGGAGTTGATTTCATTCTATCCATAACTATAACAATATTCTGTGTGATTGGCTATCAGCTACCCTGATATTAGTATTAATATTACAGTACGCTATGCCTAAGTACTTAGATAGTGCGCGAATCGCGCGCCCACTTGAATGGGTTTTTTCTTCACTCCTAGCAAAAATCTCTCGAAATATCTCGAGTTTTAAAGTTAAAAAAGCTGGAAATATCACAAATTGCGTTTTAGTTATGATTAATTGGCAACAGAAATCCGTGTCGTCCAATTCGGTCTGTAATCATTCTCGTGATTAAACAAATCGAACTCCTGGAACCTGGTCGCCCGATTTACTAACTCACTTGTATGATCGCAGACCGAAGTGGAATCCACTCAGTCCTATTACCATTATTAATCAGTTTGTTATGTCTGTTTAATCAGATTGGTGGTTACAAGCTTCCATTCATTGCCATGGGATGTCTGATGTTGTGTACTCTGCCACTTTTCCTCTTAACTTTTCATTTGATAGGAACAAAGAACCAAGGTTTGAAAAAATGTGTTGAATTCTTTGTTACCAGAGATAAGCCTTTGTAGCTGTGATTATTAGAGCTTTGGGGGTTGTAAGCTACGATTTGAGGCGGTAGCTGGATCGGGTATGCGTTAAATGTCCATGTTTACGTATTACAGAAAGGAGCCCCTTATAGCAATTGCACACACTCTGAGAAGGGCTCTGAGGTTGCGGGTAACCAGCGAGCAAACTCCTCTATTTTTCTCCCCGCCCTAGAACCCTATAGAGCCCCCTTCCTTCGGACCCCACCACCCCCCCCCCCCCCCTCCCTCGGAAAGCCAATTAATTGATTAATTAATATCAAGAACTAATACTGCCAATGCGTACACCAAGAGTGACCTAAGTCGATAATAATAATAATAACAATAATATTGTAAATGATGATGATGACTATGATGGTAATGAAGTAAGGTTTAGTTTAACTTAATTTATTTCTTAATTGCCAACGAGCAACCTCGGGAAGACGCGAGGCTGCGATGCAGCAGCATAATAAAGCCGTGCGCAAAAGTTCCAAGGCAGAATGAATAACATAAGGTAGTGTAAGGTAACTTTTGTGACGCAATAAATTACGGTAATTCATGAGCTTTCTTAACAAACTGAACAGCGCGCGCTAACAGGTAAAATCCTTACTCGTTGGCACTTAGGGATAGCTATAGCTAGTATAGTAGTTGCTAGCCCTCGAAACAATATCTTCAAACAACCGTGGTGTTATGCAGCCTGTGTCTCATGTCGCCCCATAACACATGAAGATGATTTACAAGTAAACACCAGGGAAATGTATGTTAACTATTGGGCAAAGAAGAACAATTATACAACAGAGTATCAAGATTTTTCTCTGTAAAAGGCGAAGCGCACTTTGATTGCTTGATCTAGCCGTTTAACAACTGAAAGACCTACTTTATTGAAATTCGCCACGGTGTGTCAACACGGTGACAGTTAATAAAACAGGACTAACGTCCAAATTGCTGTCAACCCCTTCATTACCTACCCTGCCCATGGAAGGTTGTACTACACCACCGGGATCTACGCCTCCTACTCTTTTCGAACAGCAGTGTGGGTTCTTTTATATCCCACAAGAATCAGAACAGTAAAAGAGCTGTTAGACGGGACCTATGGTTTTCCGTCCTTATCCGAGAAGACTTGAATGTCTAACCATTTGCATGTAGATAAAACAACTGGCAAAAGAAAGAAAAAAAAAAAGAAAGAAAGAGAAAGAACAGTTGAACAAACTAAAACAAATACTGACTGTCTAAATTTCCCACTTTTTTTCCATTCATATTCTGGTGATTTAGGGTTTTTTTTAATTAATCAAATTAGTTTTCTTGTTTGTAGCTATTGCTTGATGTTTGAGAAGAGAGGACAAATAAAAATAAGATATTTTTGTTTTATATTTTTTAAATGTAGAAAAGAAAAAACTTTCTGAAGAAGAATCAGTATCCACATGGCAACTCCTCAAGATACCAGAAGTTTTCATTGTAGGTATGTTCCCCATTTTCATGAACTTTGGAACAGTCTGCAGCCATGTAAGATAATAACAGATAATACAATAACTTATAAACTTATCCTGAGTCTCAGTGTTAGAAACAAAAGGATATAAGAAAGATAAAAAGAAAGTAACTTGTTGTAGGTATGCTTCTCTGTCATAAACTTGGACCAGTCTGAATCTATACAAGATAATAACTAAAATAATAACTGTTAAACTTATCTAGAGTCTCAGTGCTTCAAATACATCGATATAAGAACGATATAAGAGAGAATTTTTGTAATGTACTAACGAAAACCTACAATCGAAAAGATCTTTAACGAAGAAATATTATTATTTTAAACCCATCTCCCTAAAACGGTCCAAACTGGGTCTGACCAGTATTTGTTTTAGACAACTGTCCCGGCGCCTTATGAGTTTTAGGGAGGTGTCCGTTTTACCGATAATCAAAGAAAATGACTGAAGAACTGCAGGGAACAACTCTAGGTGCCCTTTAAAGCGCCGCGTCTGTCCTTTATAGCGATGTGTAACTCGCTAAAGGGATTTGGGGCTTCTACCATTAATAGTCAGTTTTGGTTCCGTCTCTGGACGGAGCTACCATAATAGTTCTTGGTTCGGCATACTGCCTCTTAAATGTAATAAGAGTAAATAGCTTTAAACGACATAACGATTATTCTAAAAGTTATTATGCATTTTGCCGCCATAATTCGCAAAGGCAAAAAATGGTTGTGATGCATTCTCTCTGGTTGTGATGTGGTTAAGACACAGAAAACAACATTACATTTCATGCCTCTCATGAACATTAGGTTTTAGTAGGTTTTATGCAGTTTATTACGATTTAAGTAGTCTAGGTAATTTTTTTATTTTAGTGTTGACATAATTGTTTTACTCTTTTTGGTAGGTTCATGCACTTTTTGCATGTATACTTTATGCAGTCTTAGTATTTTCTTTTAAATATTTTTATTTTTAAGCGCTGATGAAAATAGCAATATTGATATCGGCGCTATATAAGTACTATTATTATTATTATTATTATTATTATTATTATTATTATCATTATTATCATTATTATTATTATTATTATTATTATTATTATTATTATTATTATTATCATCTCTTTAATCACAGTCTTTGCTGGTGTTCTTTTTGTGCATCAGCCGGGCGCAAACCATGCACCTAGAGCGTCAGTCACTCAAGTCAATCATTCTGTTCATACACTGAGCACGTTTCTGAGGATTCGGGCAGATCTTAGCATGCAGATCTTTTGAATCTCTGTCATAGTAGCTCTCTCTGATACTGTCTTGATGTTTTCTACCATACCCTCATTGTACCAAGCGCACCAACAACCACAGGGATCACTACGGTTTTAATATGCCACATTCTCTGTATTTCTAGTTCTAGGTCTTTGTACTTGCTTTTTATTATTATTATTATTAATATTATTATTATTATTATTATTATTATTATTATTGCCTTAAATAGCGGTGGTGTTTGCGGCTTCAACTAACTATAATAAGCACACCAGCTATAAGAGTTACAAAATTATATCTAGGGTGTTTGAGAGGTAGAACCCCCCCCCCCCCCCAATATATTGCTACCATTACAGTATATCAGTAACTATATTGGAAAAATCATCCAGACGCGACGAGGTCAGTGCACATGAAGTAAGTATTCCATGTCTAAGGACACTATTTTGCAAAGAATATGATCACGACTCAAAAACAAAATAAAATACCACTGCAACATTTCTCAAAATTGTGTCTCAAAATGCACCGGATTGCATCTCAGCGCATATTCATTACAAAACATTTCCGGTCGGGGGGGGAGGGGGGTGGGGCATGCCCCCGAATCCCGCTAGGAAGCTTGTGGTCTTCGGCCACGCGGGACGTCTCCGCCGAACGATAAATCCTTGATAGTACCCTGAGCTTTGAGGTGATAAGGCTTTTAATTCGGAATTATTTTGTCTCATCACTGGCAGCTATGTGTTATTCTACGGCTGGTACTACTTATAGCTTCTTTGATCCAGTTTTGGGACCTCACCTACAGTCGGTAAGATTTTTTAATAATAATAATAATAACACTCAGTAATAATAATACAACAACGGTTTATTAGCATTTCATTAAAATGGTTCGTCTATGCTACAGTACTAACTATTGACACTAACTACAACTATGAAAAAAAAGTAGAACTCTAATTTTCATAAATACATACTGTAAAAAAGGGGGTCACACACTAACCTTGCTAAGGGCTACGCAAACCAAATTGAAGATGAAATTCACTTTCTCTTCCACTCTTAAAATATTTAACACCTAGATATGATTCTTTTCATCAAATAAAAAGATATTTTGCAAACTTTAAGCAAATTATCACTTTAGAATGATGACACTTAATTTTTTACTAGAAATGTACTTTTTTTAGTCCCTATCCTTTTTACAATACTATAATTATTTATAGTCATGAAAATAAAGGTTTTGTTGTTGTTGTAATGTTTTTAAAACAAATTTGGAAAAAAAAGTTTAAAAGTTCTTTTTCTCTCGCCACCTTTCTCTATTAAAAAGTAGAAAAAGGCTTTTATAGTCACTTTTCTTAAACTGAGCTACAGGGCTACATTTTATGCATTGGTGTCTTAAAACCAATATCACTTATACGACTCACCCCTAGTTAAGGATATGCTGATGTCAATTAAATTGTTTAGGCACACTGCTGGTCGATGATACCACTTTCGTAACGTCTCCGATACCGAAATCAAGTTTAGTATCAATTTAAAAGTGATGTCTGTTTTTGTACCTTAAAAAAGTGACATTGTTGATTTCTCCTGGCAATAGACTTCGTATGGCGCCAATGAACACCTGCCAGTAGATGGAAAGATTTTCTCCATTTTCAAGATGTTTCAACTAAACTCTTTACTAAACCCGAGCAAGCCCACTGATTATCCTCCCTGTCATCCTTAACCTCATGCTCGGCTATCATTATTTTTTCTTTTATAGATTTCTTAATTTATAACGGCAACCGAACAGAGAGGAGTACAATATATTTGGTCTGAAATCATTTGCGTGATTTTAAAACAGGACGAGCGCGCAGTGCGAGTACGATTTGAAATCATAAGTATGATTTCAGATCGAAATTGCACGACACGACGTTCAATTACCACTTTATTACAGTAATTTTAAAATCTTAAAATTCAATGAGTACCAATGCCGGGTTGTTGAAAAATGGAAACAAAAAGCCTGTTACATAGATCATTTTATATTTGAAACAGAAACGATGCTATATAGAGCAAAAATGGTACGATGTAGAACAGAAATGAAGTGATTTAGAGCATGAATGGTGCGATTTTGAACAGATGTGATTTAGAGCAAAAAATAGTGGGATTCGTGAAAAAATCACGCTGCTGAGACCCAATCATATTGTAGGGATCACCACTGATTTCAAAAGAGATTTCATAAAGTGTGAAAGCTCTTTTCAAACCGAAAAGAAGCTCGTCGTGATCAGGGAAAATAATAAAAAGCTCAGCGTTTATCATTTCTAACGAGACGCCGAACGCTCGAATTAAAAAGTAAACAGTAGTACTGCCAACTTTTAGACGAACTCTGTTTAATGAACCGTACTGTTGCAGTTTTCAGCCGAACAAGAAAAGGGCACCAAAATGGACTATAAGAGGTGTCGGATGGGTGTGGTTGGACAAATTTACTGGGCCTTGCCCGTTTGGAATGGAATGAGAGTAATTTATCTTTGGATTTTCGATAGCTTGTTTACAGACTTTTTTCGTTTTTCTTCTTTATTAAGAATTCGTTTGCCCTTGCGGTCACTGAATAAATCCCCCGCGGTTTTTAGTTTCATACGCGCGTTCGACAAAGTCTAAAGAGAAAATGGAGGGTCCGTGAACATGCTACATTTCCATCTGTTGCGGAAATGGGCTTTACCATTTGAGCCTGTAAGCGTACTTTCCGACCCTTCCTTGTAAATAGTAAGTGCTCCCTCTTTACGCTGATATCTTTGCTCATGCGTCTGTTACATGGCAAATGCAATTTTTGACGTTTGAGCATGATGAAGAGTTTAATATTCTGATGTTCTGTCTTTTAGGCAGTAGGCATGAGTGTGACAGACGTTGGCGTGGTATTCTCCTTTTACGCTACAGTCTATTGTGTTCTTACACCTTTCTTTGGATGGATTCTTAAGAAGACCGTAAGAAAACACCACAATTATCTTTTAAGTCTGGTTCATAAGCTGCAAGAGGTCGGTCATTTTGGTGATCGATCTGGAAAGAAAATGTATAGAAAACCTAGCCCGCAATTGCGCAAGCTATAGAAAACCCTAAAATCATTTCGACCAGATTGCGCTGACAAGTTGCAGAGAGAACCAGCTTTAATTCGTTTATGAAGCTACTCTTTAGTCTTAGTTCAATTCCCTTTTAGCCCAAGAAAAAGGCATCCTTTCTTGAGGTACATGTCGGAATCTCTTTTGAGACAGTTAGAGTTGGTTCCAAGTCGCCCAAGAAATAAGATTGGCGGGGACATAATCATTGAAAGGACCACTTAGTTTCGCCATTATGGACTCTTAGAATTTCAAATAGATTTAAAGGGCAAAGATACTTACAAGAATGTTTAATAAGAACATGATGATAATCCATATTGTCGCATTATTTTACCTTTTTTAGCATTGTTACCGATTCATGATAACCTGTGGCCTCATCGCCACCGGGATCAGTTACTTGCTACTAGGACCTGTTCCATTCATGGCCTCGATAGTGCCCGCAAAGTAAGCAGAAATTACAGTTTCAAGCCTTGTTCCTTAGTTCGTAGAAAGAGTCTCCTACTCCTGCCCTTAAACGTCATTTCGGGACTAAAAGTCTCAAATAAGTAACGATTTTGAATCTTTTATCAATATTAGGAAACTTAAGCAGCGACGTTTTTGTGACGTGCGTCAGCGGGAAGTGGACTTTTTGCACTTCTTGGGCCCGGGGGAAGGGGGGGGGGGCGGTACTTGGGTTAATGTTTGCTGGGTATGTGCCACTGGCCTCTCAGAGCCCCTACCCCATCATAGTCTATTTTTTGGGCAGCTATAGACCCATCTTATCACTTTTTGGAAAATGTAATTTTCGCGATCCCAACTTAGTCACTTTCTATTTGTACATCTACCTTTATCAATGTGGTTTCAAGCGGCGGAATGTACAATGCGAGCTTATTGTTAAATTTAATAAACAAGAACTTTCTGATTTTTTAACCGAGAATCTTCCCATTTTGAATCCCTACTCAGCCCAAAAATTCGAAAATTTGCGACCCCATTCTAGAAACTCTATTGAAAATGCAACCCCTTTACAGTCAATCCCGTCGTAAAAATGCGACCCCATCCGCCGGCACATCCCTATTAGCCTCTTGTAAGGGAGTACCCCCCTCCCCGGGCTCTTGAGCCGTGACTTTGAACAAACTTTTGGGCAAATCGTCACTATAAGAGTAAAGAAACAATACAAATATGGTAGCGTTAAGGCATATTAAAAGAGAAAAATGCTCACTTCCGGTTGACAAGTGTCGCTAAAAAAACGTCGCTGCTTAAGTTCCCTTATAGTCTCTCTAAACCCCATGCATATTCCTGACATAATAATTCATCTTTTCCATTTGGTTAATGGGTATACAAATTTACCATCCATCTTTTCTTATCACGAAAAGGCTTTATTCTGTGCTAACAAGCCATGTTATTTCCTTTTACAGTGAGACATGGTTTGTTTATTTGATTATGGGAGCAAATGGCGTTTTTCAGGGAGTGTTTTGGGTCACCATGTTACCAATTTTAAAAAGAACGAGCACGTAAGTATTTTGCACATTATCCAGTAAATATGTACAAGGTCGAAATCACTTTGTTTTTTCACTGAACAAATCGAAGTTTCCGAAATGAAGCTATGATAAGATAACTGTAATTAGCAGAACTTCTGAAAGTTTCGTTCTACTCGATTGTACGATAAAAAACAGCGATTGGTGATCTTTCTTTTAATTGTGTGGCTTTTTAAAGGTTACCCAACCAAGATTGCTCATCTGATTTTGTACCTATAGTGATAAAATTCACATTGTCTGACTGCATTTGTTTATTTACTTGTTGAGTATTTGTTACTTTATACACCGAGCCTTCCAAGAAATACCTCTCTTGTTTTACACCAAGTCTCACTGGAAATCTCTCTACTGTTTTAGATTACGTGGGATTCCCGACAACTTAGCGACAAATGGCATTCTATCGGCATTGGTTGTCACCATGACAAATATAGGGTGAGTTGTTCGTTGAAACGTCTGTTTATTTCTTCTGGTTCTGATTACAGGACACAAGAAGGAAAACTGCTTGTAACCTAACGCCTTTGGAGGATGAGGAAAAAGTCCGACTGGGGGAAACCATAGGATAGTTCGTCTTAATTCACTCATTGCTAAGAACGCCACCCTAAACCAAATATTGGGGAGGGATACTAGCTGGAGGGTAGTTTCTTTAGAAAGAGTCTTGCGAGGGATTTTTTCTCTAGGCTGGATGTCGAGTAGGTCCGAAAGGTAGGATGGTCCGAGCTTTAGGTAGCATAGTCTAATTGAGCTGGATTTGGGAGAGGGTAGTCCCGGTCATAAGTGAGTCCTCTAGCCAAGCATTGAGCGTTTCTACAGGAAATTACGAAATTCGAGTGGGGACAACAGATTCCAGACTTTTTCGGCAGGCGAACGTCGGTCTTCGGAATTTGAACATCAGACCACGTACATTGAACGTCGAACATCAGACAGCGGACAACGGACATCGGAGACTGTCAACAGACACTAACAACGAACGTCGGAGATCGTCGGGACTTAATGCGGCATCAGACTTGGTTCGGACCTCAGAATTCAATCCTTGACGCCATGTTGTAGAACAAGGAAACAACTACCTCGGAGTTAGTGAAACCTTCATTGAAGTCGTCCTTAACTAAGTTTTTTCTAACAAGACCCCATCTTTCTGTGTTGCTTATATGTAAATATGCAAAAGGCAATTCGAGACGCAAAACATTCAAATGATGATTAAAGGTACCGCTGCGTTTACTATGTAAACTTTTAATTTAACCTAAATATGGATTGAAAAATTCTTTAACAACAATTAAACTTGTTTAGTTGGTGTGAAATACCATGATGCTGTGAGGGACTTGGCTTGCTGCCACTGACAGCACTAACAAAGACGTGCCATACAAATCTGAGGTGCTGAGACTGAATTCTAAAGTCAGAGTTTCAAAGTCTGAAGTCTGAAGTCCGATATCTAAAGTATAAAGTCAGAAGTCAGAAGTCCGAAGTCTGAATTCTGAAGTGTGAAGATAAAAATCAGAAGTCAGAAGTCTGAGAAGTGTGAAGTCGGAAATCCATTCCCTTTTTTCGTAGGGAACATAGCAACCAAAACTTTTTAAGTTTGGGTCCAACTCAATATTATTTGTAAAACCTAGTAGGTTTCATGCACAAAAGAAACTGTCAGAATGCAAGACTTTTTTTTTTAGGTTAGGGGCATCATAGTACCTCACAATACTTGTTTACTTTGGAAGGTCAACTGTGACAACACATTTTTCTGAAATACCGTCTCAGTTGTGCACTGAATGCTATCCTTATAACTAACAATTTCCTGATCTCCAATTACAGAGTCACGATAGGACCCACTCTGGCGGGAATAATGGATGAGAAATTAGGATTTTCTTGGGCCGCAACGGTAAGATGTGCTTGAGTGACAGGAGTCAAAAGCGGAAAGGTGTCGCAAGGAGAACGAAAACGCGATGGAAATTTGTTTTCTCCGTTCCTTTTGTGCTTTTCGTCTTCTCTCCCCTCCCTCCCCCTTTACGCCTGCAAGTCGTACGCTACGATGAGGTGGATTTGCATTATTGAATTAAAAAAGTAAGGAGAAGAGTTTGGAGGCAAATTTCGCGTTGAAATGAAGGATAAAGAAGTATTATGTCAGAAAGCAGTCCCAAATCCCGTAGTGAATTCCTAAAACGAAGTCTCTGCTACAGTGGGGCATAGTTGTTGCAGCTCCCATAATGCCAGAGCGACTAGTTCTCTCACTAAGTTTAGAAATGTAATCAATTGCCATAAGGATTACATCTTACTGGACCACATCTCGTCTTGGGCTTCGTAAAAAAAAGAGATCCGGGTACGAGACTAGTCTATTAATTTAGATGGCCTATTGTGACTAATGTTTTTACCGTGTCTATACAAGAGAGCCGAATAATTAAACTTGATTATCCTCTCTTGGTCCATGTACTGAGTGTATGTATGCATGTACAAAGGGGGAACGGAGGGTGGGGGCAGGGTATGGCCAGGGACACAGATCTCATATAGACTGCTAACATTCCCTCGGGATTGTCCTGCAGGCGATTGTTTGTCGTGCGAGCGAGCGAGGCAAAAGCACGCAAGAGAAGGCGGAAAGTGTGCGTTTACCTCATTAGCTCTTTAGTTAGAATGCTCGGCCAAGCAACAATCTGAGGGACTGCTAGCAGTACAGTCAAACTTCTTTAATACTGACACCAATAGGGCAGAATCAATTGTGCGCTTTACAGAGGTGTCCGTATTATAGAGGTATAGGGAATGTGCGATTTTTTGCATTTCTGGGACCAAACGAACTGTCCGTAATAGAGAGGTGTCCGTAAGGAGAGGTTAGACTGTATACAAATCTCAAATATTGCTTTCTTCATGGATCTGTGCGTCTTTGCTTGACAAAATCCTAATGTGGTGCATTAGTAATCTGCTTTATCAGTTCATAAAGTAGATGTAGATGTAGATGAAACACTAAGCTTTTCGAGATGTCAACCTAAACTAACCATTAATGTTTACCTCTGTTGTAGATTGAGGGCCTTATTTGTATTTTCCAGGTATTATATACTGTTTATTGCTGTAAGGCTATGTAAATCGAGTCACAAGTCCAGAAGCAAGACCTCGGTCGTCCAATGCAAAACGCAAGACACAGATCGTTCCAAACTATTTAAACAGAAGCATCACTACCGAATATACAATACTTTTCAACCTGAGCTTTTTTTCCTCATAGGTCTTATACAGATTTTTTTAAACTTAATTCTACAGTCCACTGCAAGTATACCGAAATTTGCCTTTAAAAAGACTGGGTACTTACAAGCAATTGAACTGCTATTTTGTTTGGTTTTTATTTTAGGCCTTTCTGTATTTCTTGGTTATTTTGTTTGAAAAAGTCTCGAGAAGGTGAGTCCATTATTTTTGTAACAGTCTACAAGAAGATTTTTGCCTTAAACAGGCGGCAACGGTTAAGAAAAGCCGTCTTGGTAGGGAGTACAGGTTGATGTAAAGGGAGTTTTTTTCAACGTTACTTGCATCTGTCTTGAAATTGTTTGTTAGCGAGCGCCTGCTACTGAAATGTTAAGGTTGATTTTTTTAGTTCGTTCTTCAAGCAAACTAGGGTTTGCATGGTGTATTTTCGATGAAAACGCGAGTGACAAGTTCAAACCTCTAGAATTTCTTTAATTTTAGGTAAAGTCATAAGATGATGAACTCAGAACTGGTCCCGGTTTTCGATCAATCTGAACTCAAGAAGCTTGAGATCTAGAGAAGCAATACAAATAAATGCGCATAGGAGAATATTATTAGGAGGAAAGATGACAGCCTTGCACAAACATGGAGCAAAATTCTAGTTTTGATTCTTCTATTCACAGTTTTAGTTTCTTCGTAAATACATTTGAATTAATTTTGTTTCAGATATGAAGCTTCTCCAGAAGCAGATGAAGAAGATGAGGAAAAAAAGGGTCTGTTGGAACTTGATTCCGACTAAATACTCCAAACTGTCTGAATCCTACCATGTTCTATTTATGGCCGATGTAGGTGGTCAATACAAACGTCAAGCCTAGTCAGATGTCCTCGAAACTTAGCTACTTGGACCTAAAATATCGAGGAACATTTTAAAAGTCACCACGACGTGTATGTAATTAATGACGTTTCCATGGCAATCGACGTTAGACAGCCATGTTTTCTAAAAATTATCATCAGTTTATCAAATTTATGATTATGACTATATTAAATGTAATTAAGGCTTTTCTAGTACTAATTTAAGAAAAACGAGAATTTTGTAATGATAAAAATTAAAGGTCTTGAGTTTAGCAACGATGTTCATCTCTCACTAAACTTCATAGCTGCCACACTATTTCGCTTTTAGAACGTTGTTCTTCAAAACAAAAATCAAGAATTTGATACGGCTATCAAATAATCTATTCTGCAAATCATTTTTACCAAAATGAGTTTTCGCTATTTTTTTTAAATGAGAACAAGATTTACTACAAGCTGGAAGTAAGGTCTTATGGACTAAGAAATAAGCGGCGCTGATATGCTAGCAATATTCTTTGCAGAAAAAAATCTTAATGGTCTTTTCAATGGCGTTGAGTGCATTTAAAACACTCTAACGGCAAAACTGCAGAAAAATGCTGTTATTTGTTACAGATGCATGCCAAGTTACAGTTGCACCTTTCATTCCGCGCATGACGTCATTACTGTTTTTAAGGGAGTAGTCAATATTTATCACTAGGGGGGGTCAGCCTCGTTCCCAGTCGTCCTCGGCGATTTCGGCTGTGACGACACCTGTCAACACCTGTCAAGCTTGTCGCACTCGGTTCCAAGCCTCCGGATAGCGCGAACTGGCCTGGTTACGAGGCTGCAGGGGTGTTAGAGGATTTTGGGCCAAACAAGGTAAAATAGCGCCGATCTCCCTTTAAATATTGTTTCACTGGGGTGATCTCCCCTCATAACTCTTGATTACTTACGTCATCCCCCGTAAGTTTTCGCACCATCCTTGAAATTTATATTTACCTTTATCAGTAGGCCTGTATGAGAAACTACGGCTTTTGGGCGGCTATTTTCTCTATTGTTCTCCTGTAATATTCCATAAACAGATGAAGAATTAATGAAACCAATCAGATGCTATTTGATTCGGATTTTGGGAAGACAGGAACGCAGGCAGTAAAGAGACTTTCCTTAGTTTCTCTAACTTTAATTGCCTTCATGTCATATTGAATTTGATTTCACCTAAAATAACCAATCGTAGTAAAGTGCTTGCTTTTCAGGGATGCAGAAGTTTTGCTGAACAACCTCTACGTCTTAAAAGGTATTAAAAAACGTAATGAAATCTCCTTGATACGGGCACCAAACGCCATAGATCAACTGAAGTGTCCGTATTGAAGGGATAGTTATTGTATAAAGTTAAATACTTTTTTGGATCAGTGTAACTGTGAGTAAAAGAGGTGTCCGTATTTTAGAGGTAGAGATTTTCTACAGTTTGGCATCTTTAGGAACTTAATAGAAACTGTCCATAATAGGGATGTGTCGTGATTATAGAGAAAGCGATTGAACAAAGTTTGGTATCTTTAGGACCAAGTGAACTGTCCGTAATAGGGAGGTGCCGTGATTATAGAGGAAGCGATTGTATGATGTTTGGTATCTTAGGACCAAGTGAACTGTCCGTAATAGGGAGGTGTCGTATTATAGAGGAAGCGATTGTATGAAGTTTGTTATCTTTAGGAGCAAGTAAACTGTCCGCAATAGGGAGGTGTCGTGATTATAGAGGAAGCGATTGCATGAAGTTTGGTATCTTTAGGAGCAAGTGAACTGTCCGCAATAGGGAGTTGTGCTATAGAGGAAGTGATTGTATAAAGCAAGAGAGGATAAAGTTTCCTTTCTTGTATAAAGTTTTCCATCTTTTGGACCAAATAAACTGTCCGTGATAGTGATGAGTCTGTACAATGGTGAGGTCTGTAAAGAGACCTTCGACTGTACCAACAGAAACATCTATCTGAGAAACAGTTGAAGATAAGGTTACTTTCAATGCATTTCCAATGATGATAATTACCAACTGAATTATTATAAAGGCCGAGACATGGTCACCGTAAGGAAGTGTCGAGAAATCTTGGATTCTCTCCGACCGTGAACTGTGATTTAAGAACCGACGTGTCAAGCGCTAACCTAACCTCAGAGATAATGAAGGATTTTATATGAGTTGAGTTTGTCGGTTTCCGGCAGAACCTTTGTTATAATTATTCATAATCAGTGATTTCAACTTTGTAAATATTCATAAGAACTTTGTTTTGGGAATTTATGTCCTAAACATATTTACAATAGTGAATTAGTAATCTAGTTTCTCGTTCACAAATAGCTCCTGAAAAAAACTAATAGGTTGATTTGAATGATTACTTAATACTTCATGGTACTAAGGGCTCAATGTCACAAGCATATAATCTTCTCTTCGCCTTTTGTCTTTACCAAAGACAAGCATGAATATACAACAGGATTTTAACTTTTCATAATTTCCGTGCATTCACAGACAAATTTGGCAGACGATAGAGCCTTTATAATTGTAAATTCTTTTCGGTTGCGTAAGTTAAGTTTTATTTATTTAGGATTTATTTAGATCAGTTGATTGATTCTAAAAATAGCGCTTAACTCTATTGAAGTTTGATCTACGTTCAATGAATTTATGGTAATGGATTCAGCTATATATATGATTTATATATTTTCATTTATTATTGTTATTTTTTCGTGTTCGTAGGAAGGTCGTGGAGTTTTTTGGGATTGGTTCCGACCCAGGTTTCCTCTATTTCTTTCCCGTCTCTTGCGGGTTTTTTTGTAGGGGTTTTTTCCTGGTCTCTGAGTGTCTCTTGTAGATACGTATCCAAAACTCCGTTAATTTTCCTTGATGTATTCTGTGATGTATTCTTCACAATTCTGTTTTTTAGGCTCCGTTGGTCTTCAATAAAGCGTAGCGGCCTACTACGGCACAATAAACCGGACATGTTGTTAGTTGTTATTTGTGTGTTGTTGAGAAGCCTGTTGTTAAGAACAGAACCATGGGTGCAATAAGATAAGGGTTTTGGTGCCTAGCCTATTAAAGATAGGTTTGCAAAAATGCAGCTGAACAAAGAAAGTGGTCGCTTACGGGAGGTGGTCGTTTGCGAGAATCAAACCTGCATGAGGTCTAACTGCATGAGTCTGGACACATCTACTTCACTGGAAAGAATGTGTTGCGTGTATTTTTTTACTGTAAGTTAGGATATATGAAAATCCATGTTGTTTCTAAAAGTTCTTCTCATACTCTGAGAAGCGTAGTACATACAAGGTCAGAACGTGACCATCGTAGGAGAAAACAATAGGAAATTATAGAACCGTCATCCTAAAAAGTGGTTGTGGTTGTTACAAGCAATGGTTATGCTCTTATTCCATGGTCTTCTTTTGTTTACCTCTCGCTACTTTGCCCTATTTGTTAGCATCTGTTTCACGGTTCATGAGTAAAATCACTCTACGTTCCTGCGATTTGCAATATAAACTCTGTTTGTTTTCGAACACGTTAGAAACAACAGAAAGCAATTAAATTTGTCGACATGATAATAAAAAACGGGGCAAAGAATATAAGCAAGATGTTGAGGTTACTTTACGAATAGCTACGAATGTTAATTTATTACAGGATTACCATCTTCAGATTTAGCGGGAAATAAGGTAAAATTACTTTGCTCCACTGCGCACACGATACGTAACACTGATTTTGGCGCTAAGGGCGAATTCATGATAATTTCATTGTCCTTCAAGGATTGTCCTTTGTGCATGGATATCGTGGTCTTCTTTCAAACAGACAAATATTTTCTATGCATAGCAAGCCGGCAAGTTATGTGCCTACAAGGTGGGTAGATCTGTTAACACTGGGGACGTATTATTTTAGCTAAATGCTCTTAATATTTCGAAAGACACGGTGGTGCGAAATGCTGATCCAGCCGCTCCTCAGTGTTCGCTGAAGTTCAAGCGGTAAATTTTTGAAGACCAGCCTAAATCTGTAACCAATTATTGTTTTCATTCATTCCCTTATTTTTTGCCATTAACCACAAATACAACAACAGTATACAGAAATTTATAATACATCAAAGATAATATACACTTTTCTAACTAAGTTCTCCTGATTTACAAAATCAAATGTTTAAAGTGGTAATGACAAGGAAGCCTACGTAGAAGCCGGGGGTTTATAAACTATAGGTTTCCTGGAACTATATACTTAGCCTGGAGAATTGTTGAACTTGTTTTAGATATTGTCGTCCTTGATTGGTCTAAAATTTGAAGCGGCTTGGATGATTTTAACCAGAATTCTGTCGTAGCCAGTTTGAGCACGACCACTCCATTTCTTTTGTCAGATCTTAGATAGAGGACCAGAGGGAGTAAGGCTGGAATAAGGTGCATCAGCCATGATATCGAGACGTATAAAGCGATACAAATAGTGGATAGGAAAAATTTTACAGCTAAAATCTCATTGTAGTATAAAATGATCCCTATTTGTACACATTTTTTGCGATCCGTGATCCAAGAATTTGGGAAATTTTTGATCCGTATTCTTCAAATAACTACGGCGAACCCGTCCGAAGAGAGTTGATCCAACTCCAGGCGTAGGAAGTGATCCCTGTTTGATGGGAGGGGTTCTAACGAAAATCTAATACGCTGATGCGTATCGAATCGAGGGATAATCAGACACAATCGACATTATCAGCCGTTTGTTATCGACTGATATCGGAAATCGATAGAAATCGAAATCACAAAAAAATTGTTGTTTGTCGATGGCAATAGATAGTAATATAAAACAAGCGATAATCCTTAGGAGTATATGGTTCAGACATATGTTCAGATATTCTGCACATGACGATGCTATTTGGCAAACAACACCGACGAGACCGGCTTTAGCTTAACATACTTTATTGATTTCTATCGATTGATATCGGAAATCGATATTCATGGATGATTGATATCGATTACTAATGATTGTTATCAAGAGAGAATCGATTATAGGTTTATCGATTAACTACTCCTGGAATAAAGAAAGGCACCGGAACGTGCGTAACCTGCGTCGCAGACACTCTAAACCTTTTTGGTGAAGGCTTTCAAGGTCGAACTGCTCTTTCATTATTTACTGTAAACGCTCTGAGCCAACTTCCTTCTGTTGACATGAATTGGACCAATCGTTAGGCGCGTAAGAAACCCTTAAGAAACTCGCCTATCAGAAACGCTCACATACGTCCTTACGTCTCTGCTGCATATCAGAACTAGCTTTTGTGCACTAATTCGCAGAAGGACCATAACAATGGTTTACGCGATACGTGGGCCCGCTGCAACACAGGCCAGAACGTGTGCCATCACATACGCAAGGACTTATTCGCATGAAATGTACTTTTAGATGCCAGTCGATGCCAGGATAAAAACTTTTCCGTGTTTCTGGATTTTGTAAGTGTAAATCCTTTGGGATAGATAAAACAGCACTCCGGTATGTGCCGCTCTAAAGGGTATGGTTTTTAAGCCGTTAACGGGTATAGATTATGCCCTATTCTGGTCTGAAATCGGGTATAGCCTTCCACGGAGCCAAGAGAGTGTATAATCGTATTTGTCATTTTCAACTTCGGATGAACAAGAAAGAAAGTATTCAGGAAGGGTAATAACCAAAATGTATCATTCGAACTGAATTTTTTTTTCGATTGGCACTTTAGGTGAAGTCTGAAAACAGGTATTGATTTCAGAGACCATGTCTGACTGAGAAAAGGGGTGCAAAATAGTATTTTTTGGTCTGACGATTGGATCAGGATTATGGGAACCGGGAGGCACGGCCCGTTTTAAGGTGAAATGTTCAAAATCGTTTTGATCCCGGATTTTGCTTCTGGGCCGCGTTGTTCAAAGCTGGGTTAAGATAATCCAGGGTTAGATCGAAATTTGAATTCAGATATAAAGCTTAAAAAGCAAATTCAGTTTAATTCTTTTTGTCAACAATTTGATGATTGGCTACTCTAAAAAGAATAGAGAAAATTGTCCGAGAAAATGCTTTTGATGAAAAGAAATAGAGACCCGGGTTAAAAATTAACCGTGGGTTAGCGCTAATTGGCCTGGGCCCTGATCCCTAGTCCCATGGCTTTGATCCCCGATCCCGGGCTTCTGATCCCTGATTCAACCCACCTGACCCCTGATCCCCCATACCTCGTTACGACCCTGAAATTTGCCAGCATTTTTCCTGTCTCACTCCTCACCGCCACTAACACCGAGCTTGTAGAAGTGTAAAGTCTTTTTAAATTAAAGCGCCCTAAAGGTGATTTAACGATGAACGAGTAGGATGGAAGTTGACTGATACTTGAAAAAGTGCCGCCGAAGTTCACTAGTTTAACTAGTGTTGTTTAGCCTAGGAGAACTCACTCAAAAACATTGATTATAGTGTGCCCAACCTTTGAGAGGGATAAGTTGTCTTTTTCCTTGTTGTTCGGGGGTAATTTTGGGCATCAGCGACTGTACGTTTGGCGTCTTTTACACCAAAGTATGGGGGATAAGTGATCCAAGTCGGCATCGGATACTTCCTTTTTGCAGTTTAATGCATGACTCAATCTACCGAACAGAATTGCATTTTATCAGCATCAGCGTATTGGAAACCGCGCTCCTTCCATCTCTGGATTGTTCATCCGTTCGGACCAGATCCAGTACTCCGAGCTCATTATACCAGATTTTCAGCTGCAGGTTATTATTATGCCCAGAGTTTTGTGCTCAATAAACTGCTTTTATCAGTCTTTTTCTAGACGTGGTGCAAGAATTACTTATATTGCCATTGTTAATCTGGTGCTGTCTAGTTTTGCCTTTCTCTTATTCATTTTCATTTCTTTTCCGATCGATTACCCAATTTTGAACTTTGCCTTTTTATTGATTAATACTATATTGTTACCCACCAAAAATAGCCCTTCTTGTTTTGGGTATCATAAACTGTAAGCTGTTGTTTTCAAGGGAATAAATTATTTTTGTTTATTTGTTAACCACTTTGGCTAGATCATAGGGTCGGGTCGGGGGGTAAAGCATCTCAGTGACTATTGCATTATTGACTTACATACATATATACTACATAATTTAAATGATACTGCAGGTTAGAAAATACTGTCAACTAATGAAAGCTGATGTGGACCAAAAAAATGGGTACTAGAAGCCTGAAAAGCGGTGCTGATGTGAAAAGAAATGAAGCGTTATCATTGAACCAAGAAACTGCTCCTCAACACGAAACTCCTTCTCAAATACAACACAAGACTAAATCTACTGTCGTCAAGATCGCTCTCTTGACCACATTATGCCTCGAAAACCTCGTTGTCTTTGGGGAGATCTCAGTGCTAGCGCCGTTCTTTTCTACAGAGGTAGGTATATGTAGAAGATGACCTTATTTGGTTCTATAGAAATTTATGCCAGTGAAGTGGAAGAGATTCACACTTAGGAAATTTTTGGGCTTAAAGAGAAGTTTTTCATACAGTGGAGTTCAGTTGTGGTGACTTACCCACAGAAGGTATTCGAGGTATTCGAAGGTATTCAATATAATCACTAAAGTGTTAACTTGTTTTTTGTGCTTAACAAAACCAGTAAGAGTAACGGATGAATGATAGCTGCATGATCATCGCTACAGTTATGTTCCATACGCTTTCACGCTGTCCTTAAACACACCCTCACCCATACCCTTTAAATCAACCCCACCCTCAGCCCCACCCTTAGACTCACACTCACCCCCACCCTCACCCTCCACCCTCACGCTTACCCTTACCCTCACCCTTGGTGTTACCCTTACCCTCGTTTTAGCAACTGCGCCACTATTTGGATTTCGGATATTGATTACCATAAAACTTGGTGGACTATAGCATGGAATTTCTTCAGGAGTTAATCATTTTCCTCCAAACGTCCAAATATGCCATAGCAATGGAGGAGTTTCCTGATGTGTTGACAACAGCTGTGGTAGGTTATGATAACTGCACGAATCTTATGATGAGTTTGTTGAAGAAGAGCCTGTGTGGGAACGACGAATTTTGGAATACTTTTGTGAAAAAAATATTTAAACTGGGGATTTAGGTGTAAGGATTCTGACACTAGAACAGGAAAGTTATGTAATCCCCAGTAATTATTTTCATTAACTTCATTACCATCATCATCATTATCATCAGCGTCATGATTATTATCACTGTTGTTATTATAATTAATTATCATTATCATTATTATTTTTTACTATTTTACTAACTGAACAGGTTGTGTTGGAAAACTATTTCTCAAATTCTAATGCAGGGTATAACAGAGAGTTTTGGCGGTCTTGGACTGTCCATCAGTCCCACTGTTGGAGGATTTCTTTTCTCGGTAAGGATTAAAGTGTTAAAAAAAAAAAAGAAACTGCAGAAAGGCTTGCTTCCTTTTACCTCACCCAACAAAAGCTTCCTAGACCTTGAGCAGTCTCTTTAGGTGATTCATTGGTTTTTGCTGCGGCGCATATCTCACTGTGCATATGAAGATGGTGGCCGTGAACATCACGGAAAGATTACTAAAATAAGGTTGATTGAAGGAAAAGTTACTGAAAATTTTCAAGAGACTGTTTTTCTGAAAGAGATGAGCCTTCATAGTCTCTGAACTGATGTGCATAAAGTAATCAGTAGGCGCGTTAATTTACTTTAATAGATGTCAAACCTGTGCCCAGCCACTACAGTTGGCATATAGGCTCTATCTTTATCATACTGCGCCCTAATTGCGATATCTTAGTTTGAATGATCCCCATTTTTAATTTCATGATTTTTATAAGAACAGTGTTTCCTTTCATTGAGAAGAAAATTTATAGGAAAATATATGGCATGCTTTTTTGGCAATTTAACTAAATTAAACGAATTGAGCTACAACGAGTCGAACAGACTATATCCAAATTACGTCTACCTTGGAAAGTGAAGTCAAAACAAAGGTATTCAAAGGCATTTTTCTAGGGCGTAGGAAGCAGACTCTATGCGAAATCGCATTCTTTTTGGAAAACGTTTAGCCCATTTGTCTAGTTTGGGGTTGTGTGCGCTTATTGATAGGGGCGCTTATAAGCCATACTTGTCAGTATTGCGCCGTTCCGCGGAGAAGAGCATGGTAACCCCATGGTGGCCCTCACTACGTTTTTACATTACGTTTTTGATTTGTTACGACAGAGTTCCAAGTTTCATCTAAAATCTTTGACGAGTTCTTCCAGGGGAATCACCTAACGTTCCTTCAAAGCTAGTGTATTAGCACGCAAAGCACGAGAACGGCAATCGGCGAAGCCGCTAGGAGCGCGCGGGGGCGTGAGCGTGAGCCAGTTAGAGAGTACGAAAAGCGCATTTCCTATCTCGCACGCTAATTGCGTGCGTGGCTATTTCCTTCTCTGGCGCCCTATGTTCGATGAAATAAGAAATCAGAGAGGCTGGTTGTTATCTAACAGTGTCCCCTTGTTTTTTGGGTTCTTTTTTGCCCACCCCCCGCTTTTGTGGAAAAGAACTGCTTTCTAAAACAATATTAATTTTCATATTGTGTATTACATTAGATTGGCGGTTACAAGCTTCCGTTTTATTGTCATTGGATTTCTGATGTTGTCTGTTTTGCCACTTGCCATCTTAACGTTTCGTCTCATACGAGAAAAGGATCAAGGTTAGGGAAATTTTATTGCATTTTCTGCTTTGCATTACTACAAAATAGTGTTTTAATAAATGGGTGTCTGCGCTCGTGATTTTTCATCACTCGCATCTTCAATATGAGTCTATTCTGCCCGCATTCATCCATCCTCCTCCAGTTTAATGTGAGTTGTCTGCAGGGGAGGCTGAGTTTCTACTTTCGTTTTTTTTTTCTTTTTTTTTCACCTTTTTTCAATTTTGTTCCTCACGTTTGCTTCGAGTTCTTTATTCCCTCGTTTTAGCAACTGCGCCACTATTTGGATTTCGGATATTGATTACCATAAAACTTGGTGGACTATAGCATGGAATTTCTTCAGGAGTTAATCATTTGAGAAGCTACTTCAAACACTGGAAACAATGTTTTATACGGAAATAGTACTCCGGACATCGAAATAGGTGTTCAAACCCCTTTCTTAATGTAAACATGAGCTGTAGTTAACCGGTATTACTGAACAATCTTATTTTAGGCGCTGAACAGAGGAGTATCGGGTTCTGTGGTTGGAATTGTTTTTGGAAGTTATCCACTGACAGTTGTCCTTTCTTCCCCAATTATTGGACAGTTGGTTGGTATCAGTTATTATTTTCATATTGATACAATAAGCCTGAGATCATTGTACATTATTAAAATGGGGGAGGGAACAATACAAGTATCTCTCGTTTATTACCTCTATAAACAGTCTGCAAGTGAAATTCTAGGCCAAGACGTTTAAATGAGAGTTTCGTTTTTTCGTTTTCCGCGGGTCCAGTTTTAGAAGCTTATAGCGGGTCACTATGGTGTAGAAGCGTTGGCGGTTAATAATTTCGCTTTCTTTACAACTAACGGTTAATTTCTCTCTATTTCGGTTAAAAGACATTTCTAAAATAGTCAACTGTTTCAAAAGTTAAAAATTAATGTTAACCATAGGAAGTTTAACTGTTAATGATTAATCCCAATGAGATCCTCATATATTTTAGGTTCTTATTTAAGAAACCCTATCCCTCCCCCAACCCCACCCTCACCACCTTCGCCGCAAAAACCGTTATTTCCAAATTCCAGGCAGTTGAAGAACACAGGTTTGTTAGTCACGAACGTAGACCGTTAATTTCGCATCACTCAGACGTAAATAGCTGGCATAGTAGGGAAAGGGGGATCAATGCCCGCCCTTTCGTGCGCCTTAATCCCTCCCCTTTCTTGCCCTTTCAAACAACAGTCACGCAGGTTAAGTAGAAGAATAACGTACATTGTTATTTGTTGTTGTTTAAGTGCTTACATGTTAAATAAAAGTGTATACCACATTTAACAGGTGTCAAAATATGGTCCTCGTCTTGTTTTTATATGCGGTATTATTGTTGGCAGCTCTTCTCTGTTTTTATTTGGGTAAGTTATCATTGTAAAATGGAAACAACTGTTAGATGAAAATTAAAGGTAACGTTAAACCATTTAAGTACCAGCGATTTCACTCAGGGATGTGACTTTAATTTCATTTTGGTTTTTTTCAAAATATGGCATTCTATAGAGAGGAGAAGTGGGAACGTGACGTAACGACTTCTACTCTATTATTCTACTACTAAGGCGAGTTTTAACCGCCAAAAAAAATTGGCAATCAGCATTTTTGTTTATGGCTTTGACTAGAATAGCTAGAAAAAACACGCATCGCGTTAACAAATGCCCTTTTCTTGTGTTCATAGATTGGGTGAAGTTATTCATAATCCAGTGGCATTCACGACAGTAAGTCTTTTTCTTAGGATTATGTCCGCTATCGCAGGAGCAGCCCTCCAAACGTCCAAATATGCCATAGCAATGGAGGAGTTTCCTGATGTGTTGACAACAGCTGTGGTAGGTTATGATAACTGCACGAATCTTATGATGAGTTTGTTGAAGAAGAGCCTGTGTGGGAACGACGAATTTTGGAATACTTTTGTGAAAAAAATATTTAAACTGGGGATTTAGGTGTAAGGATTCTGACACTAGAACAGGAAAGTTATGTAATCCCCAGTAATTATTTTCATTAACTTCATTACCATCATCATCATTATCATCAGCGTCATGATTATTATCACTGTTGTTATTATAATTAATTATCATTATCATTATTATTTTTTACTATTTTACTAACTGAACAGGTTGTGTTGGAAAACTATTTCTCAAATTCTAATGCAGGGTATAACAGAGAGTTTTGGCGGTCTTGGACTGTCCATCAGTCCCACTGTTGGAGGATTTCTTTTCTCGGTAAGGATTAAAGTGTTAAAAAAAAAAAAGAAACTGCAGAAAGGCTTGCTTCCTTTTACCTCACCCAACAAAAGCTTCCTAGACCTTGAGCAGTCTCTTTAGGTGATTCATTGGTTTTTGCTGCGGCGCATATCTCACTGTGCATATGAAGATGGTGGCCGTGAACATCACGGAAAGATTACTAAAATAAGGTTGATTGAAGGAAAAGTTACTGAAAATTTTCAAGAGACTGTTTTTCTGAAAGAGATGAGCCTTCATAGTCTCTGAACTGATGTGCATAAAGTAATCAGTAGGCGCGTTAATTTACTTTAATAGATGTCAAACCTGTGCCCAGCCACTACAGTTGGCATATAGGCTCTATCTTTATCATACTGCGCCCTAATTGCGATATCTTAGTTTGAATGATCCCCATTTTTAATTTCATGATTTTTATAAGAACAGTGTTTCCTTTCATTGAGAAGAAAATTTATAGGAAAATATATGGCATGCTTTTTTGGCAATTTAACTAAATTAAACGAATTGAGCTACAACGAGTCGAACAGACTATATCCAAATTACGTCTACCTTGGAAAGTGAAGTCAAAACAAAGGTATTCAAAGGCATTTTTCTAGGGCGTAGGAAGCAGACTCTATGCGAAATCGCATTCTTTTTGGAAAACGTTTAGCCCATTTGTCTAGTTTGGGGTTGTGTGCGCTTATTGATAGGGGCGCTTATAAGCCATACTTGTCAGTATTGCGCCGTTCCGCGGAGAAGAGCATGGTAACCCCATGGTGGCCCTCACTACGTTTTTACATTACGTTTTTGATTTGTTACGACAGAGTTCCAAGTTTCATCTAAAATCTTTGACGAGTTCTTCCAGGGGAATCACCTAACGTTCCTTCAAAGCTAGTGTATTAGCACGCAAAGCACGAGAACGGCAATCGGCGAAGCCGCTAGGAGCGCGCGGGGGCGTGAGCGTGAGCCAGTTAGAGAGTACGAAAAGCGCATTTCCTATCTCGCACGCTAATTGCGTGCGTGGCTATTTCCTTCTCTGGCGCCCTATGTTCGATGAAATAAGAAATCAGAGAGGCTGGTTGTTATCTAACAGTGTCCCCTTGTTTTTTGGGTTCTTTTTTGCCCACCCCCCGCTTTTGTGGAAAAGAACTGCTTTCTAAAACAATATTAATTTTCATATTGTGTATTACATTAGATTGGCGGTTACAAGCTTCCGTTTTATTGTCATTGGATTTCTGATGTTGTCTGTTTTGCCACTTGCCATCTTAACGTTTCGTCTCATACGAGAAAAGGATCAAGGTTAGGGAAATTTTATTGCATTTTCTGCTTTGCATTACTACAAAATAGTGTTTTAATAAATGGGTGTCTGCGCTCGTGATTTTTCATCACTCGCATCTTCAATATGAGTCTATTCTGCCCGCATTCATCCATCCTCCTCCAGTTTAATGTGAGTTGTCTGCAGGGGAGGCTGAGTTTCTACTTTCGTTTTTTTTTTCTTTTTTTTTCACCTTTTTTCAATTTTGTTCCTCACGTTTGCTTCGAGTTCTTTATGAAGAAAACTCGACGTATTTTTCTCTAATAAGACAAACTGAAAGCAAAGACACACCTACAGTAACCCACGGCCTTGCCGAGGTGAGCACAAAGCATTCCTTTAAGCACTAGCTCCACACAACACATTGACCGCTTTTTCGACATAAAAACGCGATTCNAGGGAGGTTGGAAGGTCCAACTTTGCGACCAAAACCAACCTGTAATTAAGGTAGAATAGGGGAATTTCGGATTTCTCCAAAACGATTTTAAAATTCTATAGTTATGTCAAAGGCAAAACAACTGAGGTAAAGTTTCGTGATTCCCAAACTGAATTGCTCTAGAAGCCACGCACAGACTAAGAAACTGTTCCTTTCCTTATTATGCAAACGAGCCCATGAAAATTTACCAACAGAACGGGAACGTCAGTTGACGAGGGCGCGCGGAAATCAAACAACTGGCTTGAGCAATGGCAGAGATGCAAATTTGACACCGGAAGTCGCGTTTAGTCTTTTCCGCGCGCTTTCCCGTCATCAACTGACGTTCCCGTTCTGATGCTAAATCAGGTTCAGAACGCAGTTCCCTGGTCCCTCCCCTAGCTATGTGAATCGGTCTATCACTGAAAAGGTAAAAGTGAGGTAAACATATGGCGAGGCCACGTTGGAACTATTTAAAGAATTTTAGAGGATTTTAGACGATAACTGTTTTTTTATATTACTCCTTGCTCACAGAAGCCAGCATTAGTCTAAAAAGAGAAACGGTATCCAAATGGCAACTACTCAAGATACCAGAAGTTATCATCATCGGTATGTTCCTAATCTCTCGAGCCCTAGACCACATTTAGATCTCCGTCATTTACATCAGACAACATCAAATCTCAGATATAGGTTGTGGAAGGAATCATAGTAGCAACAACTGTAAAGTTTGTAACTAAACACCTAAGGTTCTTAAGGTTTATAGAAGGGTAGAGCTTGAAAATCCAAGCAAATTTAAATAAGAAGGAAACGAATAACTAGGAAGGGGGAAAAAAAACTTAAGAATAACAATCATAAGCGTGTCTGAGGCAAGCCATTGCATTTTAGTAACAAATAATTCCAAGCACGAGGTCTACAGGAAAAAAAAATACGAATTTGCTTAAACCCTGATCGCCTGGATAACCTGAAGACCCTAAACAACAGTGTAATACTACCGTGAGGTCTCCAACTACCAGCAGATCAGTTTCTTAACATGGATTAATTGTTTTGTGTTATCATTGGCAGCCATGTGTTATGTAGCTGTTGGTTCCTCCTATAGCTGGTTTGATCCTGTTCTTGGACCTCACCTACAGTCGGTAAGATCTATGTAACGGAGCTGTGGGACAAAAATGAGATTTCCATAAAAAAAAACACTCCTGTGGTGTCAGATAATACTTAACTATTTTCCCTCCCTCCCTGCATGTGACATCCCGAAACCTGCCGGTTTTAATGGCGTTGCGTTGTACCGTGTAACAACAACGTGTCTTCAAGGAAGATCAAATTTCTACCAGTGTTTTAAGAAAGAGTCGATCCAAGTGAACTTTAAAACAATTTTTAAGTCAACGCTTAACAGCACACTTCAGTTAGAAAAAACGAACAGAACCTAATACCCAAACCATTGGAGGAAAGCCCTGAATTCAGGCATGATAAAACTTTCAAAAAATAAACTTAATAGTAAGTAATATGGAATAAAAAAATTTCCTCTGGATTATATTGTTAGATCTATGGAATATTCATTATAACTTTTATGATTTTTAAACACCCTTTTCAATTTTTCACAGCTAAGTCACATTCAATTATTGAGGCAGAATTTTCATATTTTGAAACCTTTCGTTTAGAAAATAGNGTTCTTGGACCTCACCTACAGTCGGTAAGATCTATGTAACGGAGCTGTGGGACAAAAATGAGATTTCCATAAAAAAAAACACTCCTGTGGTGTCAGATAATACTTAACTATTTTCCCTCCCTCCCTGCATGTGACATCCCGAAACCTGCCGGTTTTAATGGCGTTGCGTTGTACCGTGTAACAACAACGTGTCTTCAAGGAAGATCAAATTTCTACCAGTGTTTTAAGAAAGAGTCGATCCAAGTGAACTTTAAAACAATTTTTAAGTCAACGCTTAACAGCACACTTCAGTTAGAAAAAACGAACAGAACCTAATACCCAAACCATTGGAGGAAAGCCCTGAATTCAGGCATGATAAAACTTTCAAAAAATAAACTTAATAGTAAGTAATATGGAATAAAAAAATTTCCTCTGGATTATATTGTTAGATCTATGGAATATTCATTATAACTTTTATGATTTTTAAACACCCTTTTCAATTTTTCACAGCTAAGTCACATTCAATTATTGAGGCAGAATTTTCATATTTTGAAACCTTTCGTTTAGAAAATAGGTAGGGGGCGGGGGGGGGAGAAACCAAAAGGTGAAAAACGGGAGATAGAAATTAAACTACATGTTCCCCTACCCTCCGCTTACGAAAAATTGAAATCGACCAGAGAGGAAATCAGTCAACCATGATAGTAGAGAACCACGAGTAAGAGGACAAAACCCACAGATTAGTTTCTTTCATAAACGCACTATGGTAGCTGATGTTAGAGTTGCATGCTTCACAGTGCAACACCCCTTCAGGTTGAGGTAGGTCGCGCTACTTTAAGATACACTCCCTGAACCAATCGGAATACGACGACTGTTTCCGATGAAGTTTGAACTGATAGTACGATCCTTCACACTCAGATGTTTCTCTATACTGCAGCAGCAGGCCTTCAAACCCTTAACGGCTCTCGTAAATATAACTTTCAGTTGGTTGCTGTGTTTTTGAATTCTGTCTGAACCAACCAGTTTCTTATTTTCAGGAGGTCGGAATGAATGTCAAGGATGTAGGCCTGGTATTTTTCTGTCATGCTCTAAACTACACGATGTTTTCGATCGTTCATGGATGGGTTGGAAATAAGACCGTAAGTAGTTTTTGGAATTTTCCAGTGCTTTTCCAATGTTTAATTCTCATCCCAGCAAAACTTTCGGACATCGTTGTACAACGCTTATTTGTTAAATGTTTAACACCAATGTTGCCGTTTGTTTAACATTATCATCATCATATCACAAAATGTCAACACTTACTTTGACACAATATTATCGTTTTGTAAAGTACTGCATGTTACCGATGCATGGTATTATTTGGTTTCATTGGCGTGGGGATGACTACCTTGCTGCTAGGACCTGTACCATTTCTGGCGTCGACATTGCCTGCAAAGTAAGTATACCATCAACTGATGTGATACAACTCACTTTGACACTGGAGATGACTACTGCACAGGTTGTCGAAAACGTCAATCACTGTCAACAACAACAGTCCTATTCAGGACAACTTTCACCCGGACGATCATACTCAACCTACTTATGAAATGACTCCTCGGTTCAAACCTTTCACAAAGTAAGAAGAATTTGCAAATTTCAGTTTTATCACCGAAATTTATCGTCCTCCCTTTCCATATTTAGGGTGTTTGTTGGTGTTGGGGAAAGTATTGTTATTTATCTAGAAGTTTGCTAGCTTTTCGAGGGTATTTCAAACGCTAAAAATCTAAAATTTTCACCGTTAGAATTGTTCTGGTTCCTTTTGTGATATTGGACAGTAAAGCAATGGGACCTACCCTTCAATATAACGTTTTTAAAATTCTTCACGAGTGGTAGACCGGATTTATTGATATTAGAAATGGTAAATGCCAATTAATTTCTTGTTGTAGACTTGGTACCCCTTTGGGGTGAAAATAGCTGAAAATGGATTTAAGCCTGACTCTTACAGACCAGATTCTGATAACTTTAAGGCCTTTTCTGACTGGTATAATACTTTCATTTTACAGAGTGTCCTCCACCCCGGTGTTTACCGTCTTTTTTTTTGAGTTTCACTTAATAAAGTGATGTTACAAAAGGCGATTTGCAACAACGAGCTTTAGGGCAACAATTTTGGAACATTGTTGAAACAACTCGAAACGATGTCGCAACAATGTCGTGTTGCACTTTAAATGTCGTTGCAAATCGTGCCGTGTAGCACCGCCTTTAAATATTGGTGACTGCAACATCTGCTGAAACTATCCTTCGCCATCTTTTTTTCAGTCAGGCGTGGTTCATTTATTTGGTCATGGCAGTAAAGGGATTTTTCGATGGAGGGTTTGCGGTCATATTGTTACCGATGTTAAAAGGAACTTGCTTGTGAGTTTTGCAAACATCGCTGTTAACACGAAGTAGGACTACGATTTAAAATTGAATTGCACCAAACAAATGTAGCAAAATCTGGCAGTATATCCCCAAAATATATCTCTAACTGAAATAACTTTAAATGAAACCACTATAAGTTAAAAGTCAGTTTGCACTTCAAAATTCTCAACATCCAAACTTTGTTGCTTTGCTTGATCATGATAGTATCCCCTTAAGACTCAATAGAAGCATCCAGTCCTTATTGAATACATAGTTACTTAGTACTGTACGTGTATCTTCAAATGGATGAAGCATAATATATACGGTAACTGGAGCATAAATGAACCATTTTTGGATGTGTAAATGCGTCTTCTCTGACAATTACAAGTGCTTGAAGAATTTGAAAGAACCCACATAGGGCCCACACAATCTGTGTGACGGTTCGTATGTAACAATTAAGAGAAAATTTATGGGAACAACGAAAAAGGTTTTTAAGATCGTGATATACTGTAATGAATATTAACATACAAGAACAACATAAACATATTTTTGCCTAAAATGTTATAATGTCACTCTTGTAGCTGAAACTTAAGGATTTTAGCGATTGAGAGGATTTTGCGTTGGACGTTTACTTGAGCGTTTAGTAAAGAGACAGGTAGGATAACTTGGCGCCCTATAACGCTGGACCGGTCCAGCACGAGCCGATTTTAACCAGCAAATCCCCACGACACTGCTTCCAAACCACTCACCTGGCATACTGAAAGCATGGCTCTCTACTATACGCCATAGTTAAATGCCAACGCCCCCAATTTTTTTTTCTTGCGCATTTGCGCTAAAGTGGTTTGAGGAACTTATTTCAGATTTGGAGATACTTTATAAATATGTAGTGTCTAACTGCATGCTAAACAAATGCTAATTGTTTGTAAAACGGAGGTTTGTGGGTCTCATTGAAAGGGTCCTCAGTTCATTTCTTTTTACTAGAATTCAACATCTCACCTCTCTGTTAGATCGCATGGAATTACAGATAACGTATCGACAAATGGAACGCTATCAGGCTTGGTTGTCACCACGCTGTATTTAGGGTGAGTTTTCCTTACGAAAGTACACCGTGTTTTTCCTGGCACTGGATGGTTAAGAATAGTCCTATATTGCATGGGATAAAACACAATACAAAAGAAAGGAAACAAGTTAAATGTAATTCAAGACACCGAAGAACACTCAACTAAAGCTCTGTTAGTGGGGTTAGTTCATAAAGAAACTGAGGTGTTGTATCGGTGGGGGAGTGAAAAACAAAAATTTGGTTTGATCAACTAAGTTGATAAAGACGATTGGCCGCCAGAATCCCTCTATACGGTGGCCAATCTACTCAACCAACTCATCTGCTACAACCAAATGTTTGTAGAGCTCAGTTAGAGCGGTAAGGATGGACGCTGTCAACTGTATTGGTTAGTGTAACTGAGCTAAATAAAGGACTTCAATCAATCAATCAATCAACAACTTTATTTAAGTGTCTAGTCTTCTAGCTTGCCGTCAGGCCTACTAATCGGGGACACTAAAGTCAATTAGGATAGTAGCTCTAGACCTGGTCTTGGGTAGGGTATCCCTTTGAACTGAGTTTTGAATATATTCGCCCTCATTTGACCAGGTGCGCGGGTAGGAGTCATTTTAGGCCAAAATGAATGGATAAGTTTTTTGGGGTACACAGTCAAGATTCGTACCTGCATTAATAGTCACCATAATAGTTAAAAAGGAATACTTTTTTTCATTAGGTCAGTGTAAAAGTGAAGATGATAAACAATGTTTTCCTTAAGTTGATGTCCTATTGATAAACTTTAAAGCCATTTGGCAAGCGTTGTACAAAATTCCCAACAGACTATTCATCAGAAGGCAAAACATAACTTGAGAGAAGGCTACAGCGCCTATTGTTTTTAACTGAACTGAGTTACCAAAATTTCTTGGATAAGATTAGAAGATCTTTTTGAAAATATGGGCAAAGGGTAGTTTTTAAAAATACTTAAACGGAACCCTTTATCCTTTACTAGTATGGTTACAATTGCCGTTCCTTATGATTTTTTTTTGTA